CGCCGCCCCTGGCGCGCTCCGCGCGCCAGGGAGGGGGGGCGGTCCAGCGCGGATCCGCGAAATCCGCGCCGGGCTCCGAGCTTTCTGTGGTTGTGTCAGCGTCTGCCTCCCCGGTGACGGCCCAGAGGGCCCGCGCGTTTGGGTTGCACCCCCCCGCTCCTCGGTCGCGGCGCAGCGTGATGTGATGAACGAACCACACACACACACACACACACACACACACACGCTTACCCATACCCATAGGGAGGCGGGAGGGATGAGGACTGGCTGCTGTCGGACCCATGAGCTTCGTTGCCTCGATACGCGCGTTTTGAAATGCAACACGTCCCGTGTTCAGGACGTCCGTGTCAATACGTTGCGTGTTGGCTCCACGTATTGGACCACGTTTTGGCGAACGTATCGCGTCGGACCTACGTTTTCGGCCTACGCGTTGAGCTCCGTATCAGTACGATACGCGTGGCGGGCTGCGTCTCGGGGCAGCTGAGCTGGGGCGGCTTCCGTTCGAGCGGGGGCCCCCATCCGACAGCACGCGCCCACAGCCCCGCCCGTCTCCCCTATGGTTAACAGCCTCGAACGTATCCCTATCCCTAAGATTGACACGCCCAAAGGCGATGACAATCTTAGAGATTCGCCCTCAAAAAAGAAGGGAATCCCTAAGATTGGCATCGTGATGAGGAGGTGCCCCGCACAGGGATAGGGATATGCTCCAGGCTGGTAATGTTGGTCTGAGCGTGCGCGCCTTGCGTTCGTCCCGGTGAGGTCGGCGAGCAGCCCCCCCGACAGGGGGCGCAGCAGACCGGCCGCACCCCTGGCTCGCCTGCGCTCGCCGGGGACAGGGCTCGGGCGGGTGTGCGGGGGGCGGGGGCTGCCCTTCAGTCGGGCATGCAGGGGGGTTCCAAGGAGGCACCCAAAATGTCCGGCGATGGCAAACATGGATCAAGGGGGCGCGGATCAGCGACGGGCCCCGCTTCCACGGGAAATCGCGTCTTTCCGACGCCGAACGAGGCGGCGTCAGCCGCGTTTTGGGGGAGGGCGCCTCCCCCGATCCATGGATTTGGCGACCGCGCGCCAAATCCTTGGATCGCTAGTCCATGTTTGCGCGCCCGCAACAAAGGGGAGTGACGGAGGGGGCCCTAAAGGGGCCTTTCAGGACCCCGTTTGGAGCCAATGGGGTGGTCAAACGAGGCCCTAGATGGCCCCACTTCTCCTCCCCCCATTTGGGTCACCCCCCCTGTCCTCGGCGAGGGGGGCGCGTTCGGTCGAGGATTCAAGCAATGCCCTCGGTTGAGAAGCACAGAAGATGGTTGCACGTCCCTTCCAGCCAGCAGACTCAATTTATTCAGCTTGGGTCTCGCAGGCGTCCGTTCCGGCGCCCTCATTCGAGCCCGCTCGGCCGCAACACGTGAGCACGACCCATCTCGCGGAGAGCGCTCGCCCCGGACGGGGTCGTCGGAGCGCGCCAGGGGCGGCGCCGGAGTGTTGACGTCGCCCGTAAATGTCGGGGGCGGACAGAACCCCCAACAGTGACACGTCGATTAGTGAATTGTCCGGTTTCGGTTCTCGAGATGGCGCCGCGGCCGTTATTTTCCAGGCTTGCGCCCGCCGGGTTTGGGCCTCAGGTCGTTTTCACTAAACCACGTTTTACTAAAGGGGGTTCTGTCCATCCCAGAGATATGGTGGGGGGGATAGCAGGGCTCGTTTCGATTCCTCCGATTCGATTCGATTCGATTTCGATGGCTTCCGATTCCGATTCGATTCGACTTGGGATTCCGATTCGGGTTCCGACTTCTTCTTGGAGACGTACTAGCCTGCCGATTTCTGCCGATTCGACTTTTCCCGAAAATGTGAAAACGTAGAAATTGCAGCCAGATAGGCCTTCCGAGCTCCGCGCGAGTTTGTCGGAGCGGCGCTCGGGCCCCCGTGGCGGCGCCTCCAGCGCCGCCCCTTGCGCGCTCCTCGTGCCAGGGAGGGGGTCCCAGCGCCGATCCGAGAAATCCGACCACACCTCTGGAATTTTGAGCGTGTGCATCCTTTGTTCCTCTTTATTCGGGTCGACCCGTCTGGGTTCTTCTGCTTCTGTACGAGCGCAAGGGGAGCCCCGTGGCAAAGATCGGACAGAGAAACAGCGCGACGACGAACGATGACGACAGACGAGGACGACAGGAGGATTCCCGCGGGGCCTTGGAGCTGGACGCAGACCGTGCTGCTGGAGATTTCTGGCTGGGGCGTTTCAGCGGGGGCCTGGTCACGCAATGAACACCTAGAATGGTAGAAGCACTGTCGCCGCCGCTGTCCACACACACCCACACACACACACACACACGCAGCGCGCTGGTGTTCCGCGCCCTCGTCATCGGCATCCTCGCTCGCTACCCGCGTCCGACGGCAAGGCCAATGCTCATCACCTGCAGCTGCCGTCGGCATTGCCCTCTCAGCCGCTTGGCTCGAAGTGCCGTCCGGCACAGCGCGTGCATCGCCAGACGCCGCGTCCGCGACCAGG